AGAAGTAATTGTTAAGCTAACTGGCAAATGCTGGCGTGGTAACATTTGACTGACATGAAATAACTGAAACAGACCTGTTTGTTGTCTAGTATTAGTATATTCAGTAGCATGGGAATGAAATATCTCTGTATTAACTTACATAAGATATTGCCTCCTCTCTAGAGAAAAATCCAGAGGGTACCTGCAATTTAAATACCCCAGCAGTAAAAGTGGAAATTCTGGCCAACAAACCTACTTAGTTTTTAGGTGACCAGGGTGTTTCAGACACGCGTGTGTCATAACGTGAAGGCAGAGTGCTTCACTAACTATATTCCCTGTATGGCATTTTTTTCCACGTTGGCTAGAAGTCTCTGGAATGCCCTGTTCTTGGAGGGGTAATTACTATTTATAGAAACTGTCATAGGAAGACAGAAGTAGCAGATGGCTGGATGTCCTACCACTTTGTAAAAGAAGCAAACTGCAACTCTGCTGAGCTTGGGCAATGAATTTAAACAATTATAATCTGCAGAATTACAATGAGAAATACTGTAATCCTGATTCAAAATTAAGTTTCTGAGTAACGTAAGCATTCCAGAGCCTTACCCTATAGCTCACTTGCATTTTCCCTGGACGTTAACAGTGTTACATACAGTCAGAAAACCGGTTAGTAAGGGTGGTATTAACACATATTTGCAGGCCCGACTGGCCAAATCAACAAACTGGCCTCCTTCTTCAGTACAAGCTCATCTATTTAATTCTTTAAAATCTATGTTGGTATGCAGAGTTTGTATGTCTATGTAGTTAGTCGATTATTAAGCACTGCTGTAAAAGAGAGGATTTAAAACACAAGACAAAATGAGTATTTGAAAATTAAATTTTATTAATTGCCCTACTTTATACTATATTCTTGATATATTTTTTTTGTTGCATACATCACAGGACAGAGCGTGATGCCACAAACTGGTCACAGGAAGTACTGAATGAGCTTCTGCTGAGGGTTCGTGTTGAGGGTGAGGATGGTGTCTGCCAAATCACAGATGTCAGCGCGATCGAAGGAGAGGCTTCCATTAACAACCGCAAGGGGAAACTCATCTTCTTCTATGAATGGAACATTAAAGCCTCATGGACTGGTAATATTTTCCTGGTCTGCCATTTTTCCCTGGAGTGATGTTATTTTGCTGCATGACTGCTGTTTTTATAGCACTTTTGTATCTGCTTACCTGCTTTATTCATACCCAATGTGTACCATCATGATTTTGTCCCCTTTAGGAACCTCAAAAAATGGAATTAAGTACAAGGGAAACATAGAAGTAGTAAACCTCTCAGATGAAAATGACATGGATGACCTGGATGTAAGTGACTACCGATTACAGTGTACTGAGTCATAAAGACAAAGTATGATGTATCCATTTAAAAATCTTGTTTATTTGTTCATGTTTGCCTAGATCTGCATTACAGCATGTAAAGACCAGCCACCCACACCTTTGACCGCCTTCATGAAGAAGGAGGGAGAGAAGGAAATTAAATTGGCTTTGGCAAGCTATGTTTCTCACCTGAAAAAAGGTGATGATACAAAAATAATAAACAGTTCACTTTATTTTAGCACTTTATTTTACATTTTTTTACAGATCTTTAATCACGTTGCTTGTTTTTATAGAATTCGCACAAGGTATGATCCTACCGACTGCTGATGGTGTTGATAAAGAGCAACAGCATGTACAGAAAAAAGTCAAAATAGATAAAACTCAGGTAAGTGCATTCCAGGATTGGTACATATACCATTAGTGTTCTGGGTCCTGTACCACCAAAAGCTTTGCAGCAATAGGACTTCTTTTTTACAGGAAGTGCTCAAAGTCTCAGGCACTCCATCGTAGAATGATGATTGTTCCATTCTTTAGAGAAATCAAGCCCTGTTTGACACTGAAAGTGTATGTGTTATTTAATTGTTTTTGTTTTCTTGAAACATAGATTGACTCTTTGTCTACAACCAATGCTTCCAGCTCTGGAGTGAAAATCCCCACAGTCAAGTTCAATTTGAAAGAGACCTTCTTGACCTCACCAGAAGAGCTTTACAGAGTTTTCGTTAACCAAGAGGTTAAACTGCTTTTGTTCAGCTTTTTTTTTGAATGTAGGAATTTTGTAGCAATCTTAACTTGAACATCAACCTTCTTACAAGGTTCACAGTTCACAGTATCAAATGGAAAAGCTCTGTCCGAAGTTCTTTCTATGGTAAATTGCTATATTTGTATTACTCAAAAGGCAGAGTGTTCTATAAACTCAAGAAGGTGTGAGTATCGGATGTATGAAGATGATGATCTTTTCTTGATTTCATTAATAATGTAAACCACAGGATGACTCATTTGTCTTCATTTAATGTTGGATTGATGCTCCATTGATAGTCTGATAATTAATATATTTTATGGGAAATATTACTCTGTTTTTCTGTTCATTGTTTAGATGGTTCAGGCATTCACGCACCTCGCTGCCCTTGTAGAAGCAGACCGAGGAGGCAAGTTTCGGCTGCTAGAGGGAAATGTGTATGGAGAGTTTGCTGAGCTGGTAAGGAAAAAAACTCAGCGTAGACTTCTGCTTTAACAAGACAACCAGGAATGATGGTTAACAGTCTGTGCACTTTTTACACTTTTAGGTCCCAGACGAGAAGATTGTGATGAGGTGGAGATTTGCAACGTGGCCTGCTGGTAGGTTCTCTTTATTATGTGTACTCTTTTTAAATGGTCCTTAAGCTCAATGAATGGATCAACACATTTCAGTGCAGTTTACTGTGTATTTGCGTAGAAATTTGAAATGACTTGAAATAACTGATTACGTTTGAAATGATACAAGATTTGATATATGCATATATATATATATAGTTTAGCAAACAAAATAATCAAAGCAATTCTTTATTCAAAAGGCTATGACTTTGGGACTTCATTTATAAAACATACTTGAATTTCATTTTAAATTTGTTCTTAAAACAAATTCTCATAATTTTCTTACGATTGATTTTTAAAAACACATTGTTCACAAAGTATGTAGCCTAGTGCTTGTAGCACATGGCTACTGTTTTTAAGTCAGGTTGGAAACTTATGTTTGTCTACGTACGTTTTAGCGTCAGTTTTACTGTTTATAACTCGCTTCTTCAATGGGAATTTTCACATACAGTCATTTTAAGATCAAATACTAATGTTTTTTAAATGAGGCCCCTAGACTTTCTTACCCTAAAGTGGCGGTCTTTATTTAAGTGCATGCCGTTCTGTTCTAGGACACTACTCAGTTGTCACACTGAACTTCATTGACCGGGGAGGTGAGACAGAATTGACCCTAGAAGCTAAAGGTGTTCCCACCAGTGAGGAAGAGAGAATGAAGGAGGGCTGGCAGAGATACTACTTTGATGCCATTAAACATACATTTGGTTACGGGGCCCGAATCTGTTGAACCAAATTGTCCCTCTACCCTGTATCAACCTCCTAGCAATAATACAGTGAAAAGCTGTATGCCGGATCTCCTGTGTGCATATGAAATACTTGCTCATTTGCAAGTTGACCAATATGTATGCCTTCTCCCAGAATGGAAACAAAGTCTTTACATGTTGCTGCAACAGCATCTGTACGTTGTTTCTATGTGTGAAACTGCTACACATAGATTACTGAAAATATATAACTCTTAATTGTATTTATATTGACACAACCTTGCTTGTCACTTTTATATTGTACATAAATAAAAAAATATACAGAAAGAGTGTGATGCTTTTCTTGTTTACCAGTTAATTGTTGTGCAGTGTCAGAGCTACTGAAGAACGTGCTTCTTAAGTTAATGTGTTAAAGTGGTTTGGTGTGAAAGGCTTTGTTCTGGAGAAACTTACCAAGTCAGAATTGTTCTCAGTGGTGGTGATAGGAACCAGACAATACTGTAATGCCTCTAAAAGCTACATCACAGAAAGCTAATACATGGTTACACTTTTCTAGACTTGCCACTTTTTTTACCATTATCAACATTACATATAAAAAGAAGAGAAGACTTGTTTAGGTTCACTAGTCGATTTATATAGTAAATAAAATGACTCCGTTGTAGACATCCACTGTAAAGACATATGAATTGGTCAGTTTCTCTACATCACTTCGCATCAAACCACTCCGAATGACTTTGTTTACATCTCTAAGACTTGATTTTGAAAAACTGGTGGAGTTCCCCTTTAAGAGCTGACATGCAGTATGTTGCTTTTATGCAATTGTTTGATCCTTGGAGTTAAAATTTCAGACACTGAACCAATATGAAACCAGATTTAAGTATTTAATAAGGGATGTCGGTTTTATACAAAACTCCGTATTTACATTAATAAGGTAAGTTTTTGGTTGAGAGTGTCAGCTGTCAGCTGTTTTGAAGGCTGTCGTGGACGCAGCTGTTCCGCTCGCACAGTTCAGGCCCCAGAAATCGGATGTGTGTGCGCATGTGATTGGACAGCCGGTCCCGTGGAGGTCTCCTATTGGCTATTGTCTGTCGTTGCATTTCGCTGATTGGCTGTTTAGACAGGAGACGTACACGATCAGCGGACTTGCATCCTGAAAGAGGTGATTCACTTTACCGAGCCGATTCCTTCGCACTGTCAGTTTCAATGAATCGAACGTTCGATTCAACGATTCAGTGATTCACAAGTCACGTCAACTTTATTCTCTTCCATATGCGATTCAGTCGGTGATGTCAACAAAGATGTCTGCTTTATCCTTATCTCCATTTAAAACGACATTCGGTGTACTTAATGTGCAGCTGTGTTGGTACTTTTACTTACAAACCACAGACATACATCAAAAAGAGGTGGCCACAGTGTACACAGGTACACAGTGTACACAGGTAGACAGACAAACATACATCAAGGGGGTTGTTCTTTTATATACGTGTATATTATAAGTAGAAATATTTATGTTTCTTGTGATTTTTAATCATAAATTGTTTAAGACTTACTGGAACGTTATCGGATGTTCGTTTCAGTTCAACTCGTGTATCGGTTCTTTTGATTTTTTTCAAAAGAACCGATTTGAAAGAACGACTCATTCACGTCGCTTCTCCATATAAACGAGCGTCTACTACTATCAGTTCCCGAGTTTAAAGAAGTTAGTCAGATACCGTTTTGAGGCTAAATTTGGGGTCGTGACTAGCAGCAGTTTCCTAGTCGCACTGCTTTGAAACTAGCCTTGGACACTTTTGCTCAACCTAGCTTTAGCAGCTCTACTGCTAGCCTGTCTCAGCCAACAAACTAACGTTGTGCGTTAGCTGTAATGTTTTCTCAGCTACGCTCGCTAATAGCTAATCGTGTCTTGCTAACCAGCTCGGATACATTCATACTGCATTAGCCAGTTAGCTCTTCAGGTGCTGCTTTCCTCTCTGTTGTAGTCTTCTGAATGTTGACTGTGTGGACCCTTCCATACCCAACAGCGTTGCGTTATCGTAGAAATTATTCATTTACCTGTTTTGCTAGCTAACCTTGCTAGCTTGGTTATGCAAAAAGAGTCGCTGTGGTGGCTACAGTTGTCTGTTTGTATGGCTAACGACAGGTACTTAAGTTGACGTAGCAGGGTGATGTGCTAGCTAACCTAAACAGAAAGCGTCTTAATCGTTCACACTGTCGTAGGTTATACGTGCTGGTTTAATGGGGCTTAAAGGCAAGATGCGTTTTTCTGGAAAGACATGGGTGCTCCTAGTCGTGGTGGTACTTGTCACTCTGGAAGTGGCAGCTGGTAAGTGGAAATGAGAGTGTAACGTCACATGTTAGCTATCTAGCTCGGTTTACGTTTAAAATATAACTTATTGCTCTTGCCTGTCATAACAAATTATCTTTCTTAGACTCAGACAGCGACAGATGCGTTGTCAAGTAAACCTTTCATAGTAATGGTGGCTGGCAGTAATCCTAATGTTTTTTCTTTCAGGAGGTCTAAACAGCTTAGTTAGCAAGATGGGAAACACTGCATAGTGTATTGTACTGCTTTTTGTTCCTCTAAATTATTAAATGAAACATGAAATTGTCATTACAGACGTGGAACCAGAAACCAATGAAGTCCCAGACGCTGGTCCTTCTCAGGTAATCAAACGGTCTATATGAATAGGCTTATGAAGAGGCTGTACTGTAATGTTGGACAACATTTTTCTTTGCTTAATATTTTTTGTCTGTGTCATCAGATTTCATTTTTGTGGTTTTAAATTTAGCCATGTCCACATTGTCTGCCCATTAAATGGGGTGGAGATTATGCATAGTTGCCTTCAGAGATAATGATTGATAACCTAAGTGTTTAACCATTTATCTCTGATGTTATTGGCTTTATTACTGAACAGTTCAGTTTATCAAAGCATGTTCCCTTTGTCTAGTATTTTCATGACCAGAGCACAGAAGAGGATGAGGTTCCTGTTGGCTCCAGAGTGGTGGCAGGACATGCTGTTTCCCCGCAGGAAGCCCCTCCAACGACTGATGAGCATCGGATTGAGGAGGACATGAAGGATCGGGCAGTGGAAAATGAGGCTGAGGGGATTGAAAAGGAGGACCTTCCCAACCAACCCCCTCCAACAGATGCTAAAATTAAGGAGGGTAGGTTGAATTTGGAACACTGTATTAAATCAATGGTGGCTGTTCTTCAAGTTTTGTTTCAGACGATTGTGGGAAACAATTGTAAAGGATTGTGTCGTCGATATGCACAAACTTTTGCTTTGGTATGATGTGTAGGGGTGTGTAACAAAAGCACATCCATGGGGTTGAAAAGTGGTATGCATTGGAAAACATCAGGATATTTAGTTTATTAGCAACTAAATTCTTTGAAGAAAACTCTTGAATAATTTGAACACTTACATTTTTCAATACTTATACTAGTGCTTTTTCAGTAATCCAGAACTACATCTTGCTCTGACATATGTGCCACCATGCACACATTACAACTGATCACAAAAGTTTACTTTCTGTTGGGCAAATAATACATGATATGATAGATATTACACCATGTTTAAGTGGGTGGAGCATCTAAGACTAAGATGTTTTATGTATTGTAACTCAGTTGCACTGTTTTCAAAGATCATTATTTTGCATAAGGGCATTCTAATTTACAGTATTTTAAGCTTTTGATTTTTCTCAGCCAAACCAATCTGTGTAGTAGTCAGTTAGTACTCAGTATAATCAAGACATTTCAACATGAAAATCGAAATGTAACTTGACCTCAGAATTGATATTGACTCTGAAAATATATGCATCGTTACATCCCTGGTTACCTAGTCTTCAGAATTGTGAGGTTATTTTTCAGTAGGCATGTACATAAAACTTCCTCTTTACCTTTTGATAGTGTAGGAAGAGCCTAGTTTCTCAGTGAATGTGGATGTTTATATATTTCCAATGTTCCTCCCTTTCTACAGCTTTATATCTTGTATACTCTGTCCTCTGAGCTAGTTTGGAATAATGGTGGGTGGTTTTTTTTTTTGTACCTTTCCTCAAATAACATTTTTTGTCACTGTCAAAAAAGGAACTCAATCATGCATGTCAGTTTTTGATTGGTTTCCTGTAAACGTTTGGAGTAATGTGTCTGTCCCCCATTGGTTTCTGCATGTTGGTGTAGTTCCTGTGGTGATTGGGGGCACAGCCTCTGGGGAGCCCTGCCTCTTTCCTTTCCTCTTCTTGGGGAAAGAGTACTCTGACTGCACCACAGAGGGAAGAGGAGATGGGAGACTGTGGTGCGCCACCACCTATGATTATGAGCACGACAAAAAATGGGGCTTCTGTGAAAGTGAGTTAACATAATTCGTTTAGTACTAATGCTTGTTGTAGGTCCTGAATCTGATCACTGAGGAAAACTGATTCGGGCTGCTTGAGTCTGTATAAAAGCATTTAGATGAATGTGTGGGTGTTTTTATATAAAAATAGCTTGGTGCTCTGGTGCACAAGGCCATGATTTTAATCTTTGTACCTGAAACAACAAATAAAGTCTGTACCTTGGACATGTCATGTATCAGCAGTAGCTTATGTTAAATTTAGAATTTTTAAAATTGGATATAACTTTGTTTCTTGCCGCTCATAATATTACACAATGATGAGAATGTATGAGTAAGTGCTGTTTCCTATCTCCTTGACAGCGGAAGAGCAGGCAGAACAGAGAAGACAAGCAGAGGAGGCGGAGGAGCAGTACCAGGCCACCCTGAAGCTGATCAACAGTACAAGCAGAAAGAGCCAGAAAAAAGAGTGAGTGTTCTCTAGGCCCTCTCAATGCTTTTGTCATTGGGACATTAATATACTTAATTTATCCTGAAACTGAAAGCTTGCATGATGTGTTTGTCAGTTAAAAAAGAGGTCTGGCTATCACCATTTATTTGAAGTGAGGTTTCAAGGCTACATGATGCTAACAAGAGAGGCCACGAGTAGGGGTGGGCAAGATAACAATAAGTTATAATATAATAATAATAATAATAATAATAATAATAATAAGCACACTACACTTTTGCTGAGTATATATGGTGGTGTTATCAGACCTTCTATAGAGACTGAGTTGTTGGTGCCTGAATTGCAGATGCTTTGTTCTTAATATTTATTTATTATTATAATTATTTATTTATTATTTATTGTTAAGTGTAAACTCACAGGCTGGGATGGAGCAATGCTCAGTAGGAAAAAAATCATCGCAGATTTGATTCTGCACTGCTGTGACCTGGTCTCAAAAACGTTATGTTGTCAGCATCAAAAAGGTAGAATTTGTGGCAGATCTGCTCTTCAGAAACTGCTTGTTTTTCAAGACTGTTGATGTTTGTGTATGAAGCACAAAACCTGGACTTTTGAGCATCCTCTGTCTGCAGGCCCCTAGTTGCCTTTCAGCTGGTGGCATGGAAGTTAACTCTGATTTTTTTATTAATGTAATCAAATAAAATATTTTTCCCAATAACTCTGTTATTAGATTAACTGTGACATTAACTGTGAAATATTGAACTACTAGCGAGAAATGAGGTCTGAAAGGGAAGAGGTGAAAACCCCTTGCTGTAAAAACAATTCACACCTCTTCACAAAGACAGCGATGCCAAAACATTGCGGATAGCACAATTGCAGCTTTCTTCATATCAAAAAACCATGTACAACTGCCACAATAAAAACACTTTTATAAATACTGATTGGCTTGCTTATTTATGAAAACAAAATCCAGTTTGGTTATGGTTTTGTGAATCATACTCATATTCACAAATAGGAATATGAGGCTAATTGACAGGACCAGGTGTGCTGTCACTGTTCCCTCTTGATGGTTCTTTACACATTTACATGTTTCTAAACATATTTGATACAGGTGTAATTAACAGCAGGGTAAAGCTTGTTCTCATTTGTCTTCATTTCTATAACTGTAGGGGTTATGTTCAATGTATGCATACAAGTCCTACACCACAAAGTGCGCCTTTGATTTTTTTTTTTGTTTGTTTTGTTTTTTTTTATTATTTTCTTTTTTTTTAGAGCTTTGTAAATGTTAAGCTTTAAACTTCTCTTTGCCTTTTAGGTTGTATGAAAAGCTGCTGAAGGTGGCAGGCATGGGTCACACCAAGGCCATGGAGAAGGTGGCGTATGCCATGCTGTTTGGAGACTACTTAGCCCAGAATGTGCCACACGCCAAGGAGCTTTTTGAGAAGCTGGCACTCGAAGGATCGCCCAAAGCACAGACTGTAACTCCTTTTTATGTCTGAAGCATGTTAATAAACATTATCTCATAGAAAACAGTGATCTCAAAGTTTGATGGCTCCTATTAAGCTATGTTGACACCATGATTTTGTCACTGCTGAGTTATAACACCAAGAATATGTGACTAAACATTCTGCACTTAAAGATTAAAGGGTAACTATGTTGTTTTTAATCTTTGCTTCTATCAGGCACTTGGTTTCTTATATGCAGCAGGATTAGGTGTGAACTCCAGTCAAGCAAAGGTACTTCTGTAGTGCTTTTCATTTTCATACATACTTACTTGAATATGTTTTAGATGTTAACATACAATCAATTCAATAACAAACCCTCTTTGTGTCTTTTTGAATACAGGCGTTAGTGTATTACACTTTTGGAGCTCTGGGAGGAAATCTGGTTGCACACATGATTTTGGTAAGAAAGTTATGTGTCTTCTTATCTTTTCAGACGTACCAGGCAGTGTCTACCAGAGAATAGTCTAGATGTATAGTGTGTAGATGAGTGCATGATTGTAACTTCTGCTGGCCATGGCTTGAAGGTCAGTAGTTGCCTTAAGCTAGGTCAGAGATATAAAGAAGGCCAGTGTTTTTTTGTTTTTTTTTCTCTATAAACTATAACAGAAAGGCAACAGTCTCAGCATTATTGTTGGGTATTTGTGTGTGTGTGTGTGTGTGTGTGTGTGTGTGTGTGTGTGTGTGTACAGTGAATCCTGAGTTTGTGAATCTTTAATTTGCTGGGTTTTTGCTTGAATAGCTGCTCATGTGCTTTGCTCTTCATTTAAATTATAAATAAGGACAATTATTAGTTTAGCCAACACACATTTTTACCTTTCTTTCTGTTGCCTCATCTGTTTAAACAAGCAAGGACGTTAAAAGAAAAAGTGTGTTAACTAGTCTAACTCTTGAAATAAAGGTAATTGGAATCAGATGTTCCAGGCAGTTCATGTGTGGATTTTGAGAGTCTGTCAAAAAAAAGTGCAAAATGGCTTGATCAAAAGAGATTTCAGTGGACCTCTGAAGAAAGCTTGATGAAGCTCGTAAGACTTGAAAAGGTTAACAAGTCAATTTCTAAAGAAGGACTCTGAGTCTGAGGACTCTGAGCACAGGTCCTAGTCTCCCTAGAGGTAGGATTAAATGAGCACACCAAAGTGTCTTTAAAGAAGTCCCAAAGAACTCTTGGTGACCGTTAAAGGGCTACAGGCTTCTCCTGCACTCAGTAACCCTGATGTTCGAGAATGTACCATCTTTGGGGAAAAAAAAAACACTGAACTACATTAGTGTTCTTTGGAGGACAGACTGCACCGGGGTACCTGCCAAGCTGCTTCCATCGTGGACCTCCTTGTGTTTAGATGCTCCAAAAGCTCATCAGTCCTTCACTGTCTGTAGCTCAGCCTGCATGTTGCACTCACTGCTTCATTACACTATGAGTGTTTAGATATGTAACCCATAAACGCTGTACAAAGTGACTCATAAAAGCTGTATTTGAATAAGAGGGCAGCAATTGCACATTGTGTCACAGCAGCATATGTTGCCTGAGCAGCTGGGCTTCAGCTTATCTCTTAATACATTGTTGCTGTCCATTGCATACATTGTAAACTGCAGTAACAAACAGCTTTAAAGTTATAAGTAATTATAAAATATAATTCCAAATGTTGTGAAGGTGACTGTAGAGTATTTGAAGCTTGTAAATCTTCCCAGTCCTTGAAACAAAAATTATGGGTGACACATGTACCTTTAATAATATACTGTTTGCTAGTGTTGGTTCTGTAGTTTCATGACTGCTACAGAACAGCCAAGAACAAATCAAGGTTGTTAAATGCATGGTGTGATGTTTGTGTGCAGGGTTACAGATACTGGGGAGGTGTTGGAGTCCCTCAGAGCTGTGAGTCTGCCCTCACTCACTACAGACTGGTGGCTAATCATGGTAAGAACCTTTTGGCTCAGACTTGGACTTGCTTGAATTCGCTGATGGATTATGTTGCAATATAAATCACACTGTTTGGCAGTTAAAAATGGAATTTGTGTGGCAGTGGCCAGTGATGTGTCCCTGACTGGGGGCAGTGCAGTGCAGAGGATTCGATTGCTGGATGAATTGGAAAACCCTGGTTCCCCCAGTGCCATGCTGGAGGAGGACTTGATCCAGTACTACCAGTTTTTGGCTGAGAAAGGAGACGTGCAAGCCCAGGTACTGTCTCTGTCCCAACTCTCAACTCTATAGTTCACCTTGAAATATAGAGTTGCCATCTGTTTGCGATGCTGTCTAAATCTGATGATGTAATTACTAAGGATACACAGATACAGGAATGCTGAGCCGATGCCGATATCTGATACACAAATGATTTACGTTCTGCCGATGCCGATACATAAACACTTAAAAGCGTAGAAATTGAGATTAAATCCACATGGCTTAGCGTTACAGATAAATGTAACACTTATGTAGAATTACAAATGCAGTAAAATGAATAAATTGCAAACGTTTTATTGCAGTAGTATTCAGCCTCAACGGAGAACACACTTCTGCACATTTTAATGCACAATTGCTATCTATCTGCAGAATTTAATATGCTGGGGGGGGGGACTTTTGCAGAGGTCACATTTTATGGCACATCTTATAATTTATGTTATGTATTTTTTGGTGTTAAACCCAGCAAGTAACCAGAAATTGTGCCCTAAATTTTGCAGGAAATTTCTGTATAAGGTTGTTCCCTGTAGAAGATGATAGCTTTTTTCACTTAGAAAATCAGCACAGCGTGTAGTTTGATTAAGGGATGTGACTATATCATCTCTTTGTGTTATTAGCCCTCCCCTAGCATAATTTTCAGATAAAGTGGCTAGTTTATTATCATGCATATACTTTGTCTCTGAACCTGTTTATCAGTGCTGTCTATTTATAGTATTCAGATTAGTTATCTTTTGTGCTTTTTTTTTGTTGTTTTCCTTCTCTAAGGTGGGTTTAGGACAGTTGCACTTACATGGAGGCAGAGGGGTGGAGCAGAATCATCAGGTAATACTTTTAATTCTTTTTAAAGCTCCCAGTAGTTTATCCTGTTTTAATATCACAATGATATTGATATCTCTTACCATTTTGTCTTTAGCGTGCCTATGAATACTTCAATCAGGCTGCCAATGCAGGCAACACACATGCTATGGCCTTCCTTGGAAAGGTAACATGACCTGTCTTACAGTCGTTATGTAATGTTTTGTCTTTCGCCACTGTTGTCAGTATTTTCAATCTGTATTTCAGATGTACTCGGAAGGCAGTGAGTTTTTGCCCCAGAACAATGAGACCGCTCTGCATTATTTCAAAAAGGCTTCAGAACAAGTGCGTACCAAGAGAGTTATTAGCATCTGTGTTTTGTTGTCTGTTTATGACTGTACTCAAACTAATTAAAAATTGTACACGGTGAAATCTTAGGGAAACCCAGTTGGTCAGAGTGGACTTGGCATGGCCTACCTGTATGGCAGGGGTGTTCCTGTGGTGAGTTATATTGTTTGATACCTCTCTGTATTTCATTACCAAGTGCAGCTTACATTCCTTACTGTGTTAGGCTGTTTTTCATGTGCTCGTAAAGTGAATAGTCTACGACTCCTGTACCCAAATACATAATCGTATTTATCTATTGTGGATTCGGTGAAGTTAAGGATTATAGTGCGTTTTGGTGTTTGTTATTGCAGAACTATGATCTGGCACTCAAGTACTTTCAGAAAGCTGCGGAACAAGGCTGGGTGGATGGACAACTACAGCTGGGAACCATGTACTACAGTGAGTATGTGTGTGCCTGTCTGTAAAAGTGTGAGATTGGTATCTCACCCACTTCTGCTTTACTTTCACTTTGAATCCTATGTTTATTTGTTTTTCAGAAATTGCCTGCATTTCTTGTGCTTCATTATATATTTTGTGGTCTTTACCCTTGCATCAACTTTACCCTTTATAATTATCTTATTCGTTGTCTAGGTGATTGTTACTATGAGGAACATGAATCCACATTCTGATACAAACTTGGTGACAGCTGAGCTTGTCTGCTGAGTCATTTCTTAGCAGTGGGAGTTGGAATGAAAAACAAATGGATGAATCCTTTTTATGATTCATTTCTTTTCTCTGTGTGTACGTCTGTCTGACTCGCAGATGGAATTGGAGTGAAGCGTGACTATAAGCAGGCTCTGAAGTTCTTCAACCTGGCCTCCCAGGCTGGTCATATTCTGGCCTTCTATAACCTGGCCCAGATGCATGCCACTGGAACAGGAGTGATGCGCTCCTGCCACACTGCAGTGGAGGTAAGGACTTATCCACTGACTCAAATAATTATGGCTTTTTCTCTCTATTTTCCTGGTTTGAAAGTTAACACCATGTTGATTTATTGTATTTAGCTCTTTAAGAATGTGTGTGAGCGAGGCCGTTGGTCAGAGAGGCTCATGGGGGCCTATGGCAGCTTTAAGGAGGGTGACATGGACTCTGCACTGGTGCAGTATCTGTTGCTGGCAGAACAGGGCTATGAGGTCGCACAGAGCAACGTGGCCTTCATCCTTGACCAGAGTGAGTTGATATGGTACCACCAGGGGTCAGCAGAGTCCCAAATGTGTTGACTTTGTTGTTAGAAGTTTTGTTTATTTTTTTCAGGCCAGGGTGCAGTAATGAAGTGAAACCTGATGTAGCTAGCCGTTACTGCATCCTGTCTCCTCCTATTCAGTTTTCACTTCAAAGCTGCTCTTTTTAACAGTTTTAAACATGGATTCACAGCATATTCTCAAGAAACTGCTTGTGCTAAAGCAAAAATTATGGAAACATTTGGCCTGTGTTATGAGTGCTCATCTCTTATTAGCTAAAGTAGCACACTGTGTGTGGATAAAGCCCTGATGTACTTGTATGCATGTTGCAGGACAGTCCCGGATCTTCAGTGAAAATGAAACCTACCCTCGAGCTCTCCTTCACTGGACTAGGGCAGCGGCCCAAGGTTGGATATGTCTCCTTAGCTCAACTTTTATTGTTTTCTTTCCTTTATGCTTTTGCAACAGCTTCAAGCACAGAATGTATTATATGTGGTTGATCAAATCCCTGCCTCACTAAAGCTCTTTATTTTTGCTTTGTGTGTCACTGTTTAACATTGTGGTATTTGTGTGGTTCTTGGCTGTGCACAGGTTACACAGTAGCGAGAATTAAGCTCGGTGATTATCATTTCTATGGCTATGGCACTGACGTGGACTACGAGACTGCTGTCATCCACTACAGACTGGCCTCAGAGCAGCAGCACAGCGCCCAGGCCATGTTCAATTTGGGCTACATGCATGAGAAAGGCCTTGGCATTAAACAGGTACATGCAGATTCCCCTAGTCAAATATTTATCCACATTGATCATTCCGGCAATTATTGTAAATTTCCACATAATTCAGGGATGTAAACAAAGTTATTCTGAGTGGCTTGATGTGAAGTGGTTCACTGTAGAGAAACTTACCAACTGAGATTTCTTTACAGTGGTGCTGGTAGGAACTAAGGGCAGGATGTACACCATGCAAATGGCTGCTCTGTTTGTGTCTGGCTTTTTGTACTCCTCTCTATTTAATTTTGTGTGTGTGTGTGTGGTGTGTGTGTGTGTGTGTGTGTTCTTTCTACTTGTAAAGTTGATAACGGTAAAATAGTGATAAGTCAGAATTTTTTTTTTCTTTTCTTTGGGGATTAGGTCGCCTCACAGCACTCTGCATGTATCTCTCCATATTCTCTAGAACGGAGCATTTCACTTTACACCAGTCTGAATAACCTTTTTGCATTTTAGCCATTTAAATATGCAGACATTTTGAAATAATTGGTGGAATTCCTCATTAATAAAGAAAGCACTGTAATACAAATAGGGCCAGCTTATTATAGAGGAACGGGTAATAACCACATCGTAATCTGATTTCTGGGTGTTCACACATAAGTACAAATGTGCTTACTGCTGACTGTTTCCTTTGGCAGGACATCCACCTGGCTAAGCGTTTCTATGACATGGCTGCAGAGGCCAGTCCTGATGCGCAGGTACCTGTGTTCCTGGCTCTGTGCAAACTGGGCCTCGTCTACACACTGCAGTACCTGCAAGAGCTTAATGTAAGACACACACACGCGTTCTGTGCAGTGTCAGAGTCATTTCCTCCGCTTGAAATTATAAGGTTCTGTCTGCATTCTGAGCAGTTTTGAGATTGAGCTTTAAAGATTTTGCATTCTAGATAGCGAAACTGATATGTGGAACAAGTCTGTGTCATACATGAAAATGACAGACACCCTAACTGTATTCTAAATGTACAGTATCAAAATTCTATCAAATATGTAAATGAGTTTTTTTGGAACAGGTCAAATGCAGACAGAATCTTCTAATCCTAAAAACTCACTTTCTGCTTGGAATTATAAGGTCTGATGATTCCAAGGAACACAAACGGGTTACACATAATTTGTTTTAAAAGATAGTGTCTACATTATCAGGAAGTGAAATTAATTGCCTTTTATGGCATTTTTCTGACATTTATTTTAATTAATTTCTTTTTGATATTTCTTGTTTTAGGACAAATCATCTTTTTCTTATTCAAAAAAGCATTGCTGTTTAAATACAAACGTCAGTGCTAAATATTTTGTTCAGTGCAGAGGTCAGTTTTAGATAGAACCCAATAGGTAAGTGTCCTTTTAGGTTTCTCAGCACCCAGCTACTGTAATGAGCTGTCTCAGCAAGTAATTGTAGCCAGTCAGTCTAAAGGCAGTATGAGGTTTTGTTTTATGTCAGAAATGTGACTCTAATGAGCCAAGATGTTTTATTTTGGGAGAAAGAAGAGGAAAAAAGCTGTATGAATGAATTAAATTAATATTTATGTTGTAATTAGGACCCCATTCAAATTCAAATGTTCACTAATTACTTTTAAGGCTTAATCTTTGTAAAATTTAAGACAATAAGAGTTTTTAAAGAACTGCAAGGAGACAGGCAGAGTTTCAGCAACATGTTTTCATGTTTCACTGTTTTGTAAACTTCGTTATACAAATATACAAACTTAGAAATTATGTTTAATTGTAATTAATCAATTATTAATCCAATAATTGTCAAGTTATTGCAAAACATTTCAAACAATGCAACAACTCAGTTTTTACAAAAAGTTAAAAATGATTGTTTCATCTCAGTTTCATAAAATACATCTAAATCATCGAGTTGGCAGATTCTGAGCCCTATAGCTTTGGCTCATTTTTTTCAACGAAGCACTATAATTCTGTCTATCTGCAAGCCGCTGGTTCCACAGAATATTTTAATACAGGGGTAACTGTTAGAATGACCTTTTTTCAAAAAAACCCAAACGTATCCTTTAATGCTGGCCTTCTAATGTTAGCATTAGCTGGCAGACTAAAATGAGCAAGCTAGCGTTGTTTTCATTGTCAGCGCAGTAGCTAACAATGAAAATAAAACTTCTCAGCAAGATTTAAAACAATTAAAAAAGATTTAAGTTGCATGTAATTTGTACTGTTGTCCTTCGTGAGTTCACCAGTGAAATCCTCCATGTTGAAGTTTCTCTTAATTTTTTTTTTTCTTTTCCCCCACTTGTGCTCCTTTTTTCACTGAGCAGTGCGGCGACATAACAAAGAAGCAGAACCTGATTGGTCCTTTTTTGTGTATTGGAAGTGCTGATCGACTCACAGACTTATAGAACCAAATTAGATTTTGGCTTTGGAGAACATTTTGTTTGCTAGATAAAGAGTCCAAAAATGCATAAAAATAAAAAAACATCTCAGATGATGTTAAGATGTTGTCACAGCATGAGATTATATGAATAACTTGATGTCAGGGGATGATTTGTCCTTCATGTGTTATATGCAATAGTCATATATAATATGTACACACACATCCACATATGTACACCATATGGACAAAAATATTGGGACACCTACACATTACACCCACAGGAGCTTTTATGACATCCCACTCTAAATCCATAGGTATTAACATGGAGTTGGTTCCCATTTGCAGCTATAACAGCTTCCAAACTTCTAGGAAGGCTTTCTACAAGATTTTGGGTTGTGTCTGTGGGAATTTTTGCCCATTCATCCAGAAGAGCATTTGTGAGGTCAGACACTGATGTTGGACGAGAAAGCCTGGCTCGCAATTTCTGTGCTAGTTCATGCCAAAGGTGCTTGATGGGGTTGAAGTCAGGGTTCTGTGTGGGCCGGTCAAGTTCTTCCACACCAAACACACCCAGCCATCCATGCCTTTATGGGCCTTGCTTTGTGCACTGGGGTACAGTCATGCTGGAACAGAAAAGGCCTTCCCCAAATTGTTCCCACAAAGTTGGAAGCGTAGAACTGTCCAGAATTTCTTGATATTCCCTTCGCTGGAACTAAAGGGCCTAGGCTGACCCCTGAAAAACAACCCCATATCATTATCCCTCCTCCACCAAACTTTATAGTTGGCACAATGTTGTTCTCCTGGTTTTTGCCTGAACATCTAAACTCGATATTTAGGAGGGCTGTCCCAATACTTTTGTCCATATGGTGTATGTATGTACTGGCATGAATTCCCCTTTAAAGTGAACCCTGTCAGTTTTGGGAAAAAAATTGTAAAAGATTTCTCCACTCTTTTGTTCCTCACAGCTGAAGGAGCTTGTTTCTCAGGTGGATCTGGACCAGTTGTTGGGTCCGGAGTGGGATCTCTACCTCATGACTGTTATAGCTCTACTTTTGGGCACTGTTATTGCATATCGACAGAGGCAGCACCAAGCCGTGCCGAGGGTGCCCCCAGGACCCCCAAGACCTCCAGCCCAACCAGAGCAGGCTGCCCCTGAGGCTGATCAGGAGTGAAATATGGGTCTAAAGCTGGGTTGTGTTGAGCCAACAGACATTTGGGACCTGGGCTGGTGGTTCAAGAGTTTGCTCTCTAGGACAGCTACAGCAGCTGCCTCCACCCAGCTACCGGATTTAACCTCTCCCTAGTGTTCCAATGAAACAGGAACTGTCTAGACTCTCATGTTGCTCTCCAGTGGACTTGAGCTTTGTGGCTGGAAAATGGCAGAAACAAAATGGAGGGCAAAAACACAGGACTAACTTGCTGTCTCTAAAGCGTGTGGCTCAGGGTATCACCAGCTGAAGCTTCATTTATTTGTGCTAATTAGTGCTCACTCTTTGGGGTTGTAAGTAAAGTACAGGACTATTACTTTCATTAGCCACTGTGCTTGAAGCCAAGGACCTGCTTCTGTTATGTTCCCCTGCACCACTTCAAATGGTTCTTTTAAGAGCAGGTTGGTTCACGCCGATTTACCCTTGTCTCACGCCTTTGCTGAATAAAAAGTGAAAACACACTGGAACTCAAGTTATCAACTACAAAAAAAGGACTAGCATGTTTTGCTATCACATGTTTTGCTGACTGGAGTGGATTGTTGGCAGACATGCTTGATTCGTTATCATATTTTTCAAACACTCTGTCTGCAAATTAATTTATAATAGTAAATGATAATTACCTTGTTTGCCAGTGCACTAGTGTAATTGAGGTCTGAAGCTGGCGCATAAGAAAAAACACAAATCTAGCCTCTTTGACCAGTAAGTGTTCGCTTAGCAGCACAGATAGTGGCGTTTTGAAGGTTTTTGATGGTCACAAATGTTAATCTTTTGAATTATCACTTAACACTGTTTCTGCCTTTTACCTTTAATGATCTCTGTCATGATCTAATGGAAAAGTGCTGAATGGTTCAGTACGAGTTTATTGGAAAAGTTCCCAAACCTAATTAGATTTAATCTGTTTTTCAGTCTTTTTCAAACTGCAAGTGTCCTATGAGCTTTTGTCTTCATTCTAAAAGAAAGATGAAGGACTGTTCTCACCACAGTATATCCCTTTTAGTATGAAGTCATCTGTTTTAGGGCTACTGATTGCTGTTAAAAGTATTTTGTTCTCAGTAGTTATTTTTTGTGGTTTGTAGCACAGAGAATGGAGAAATTAGAATATGCAAGACAAATTGAGCTTTTATTTTTTTTTGAGCATGTGGAGAACTTTTGATTGTTTTAGAGGGTGGATTCTGGCGCTGAAACGTCTGAACATATAGCAATACAGTAACGTTTGATGTATAAACTTTGTAAAGAAGTTAACTGTATAGGATGTAAAGAAATCTGAATCTTGCAATTCATGCTGAAACTTGCCAGAATACGTCCTGTTCTTGTAAACAATCTGGTGTTTTTTTTAACACATCAAAGATTTGAAGCGCTCCCGGTAAGAATACTCATTTATCAGACCTAACAGACAGCGGCACACAGTATGGCCAAAAAATTCACATCGCATTTTTACCGTGGTATTTATAATTATAATTTATTCTTATAATTCATAAGAAACTAATAAAAAAGATCCATGGGCTCTGCATCAGTGCACTGTTTTCATAGTCTTATAATTTTGGAGACTGTACTGGCTCAAAACTGAAAAATAATCTGACAAACACTCAATATGTGGACACAACTTGAGTTTTCTGGGGCTTTGTTTTTGGAAAATATTTTTGTGACATTCCAGGGCATATGATTGGACTGAGCTTGTGTTTGTCACCCGGTGTACGTTAAAGCTATCCGAAGTTGTGAATGGCCCATGGCGCAGTGGCGGCTGTGTGTGTCGCTGTGGCGTGCTTTATCTCAGTGGGCCTGAACTTTGTCACTCAGCTGTTTTGGGTGGGCGAGATAAGGGGGCCCTGATATAATGGCCCCGCTCTCCCCTGCATGCACAACCATTGTACGAGCCCAGCTTGGAAACGCTCCACCATGGAGTGGCTTTTGATCGCCGTGGCAACCTGCCTGTTAGTCTCCTGCCCTGTCAAAGGTAAGTGCTGGAAGCGGCCAGAGCTGGGCGGACACAGGCCACAAAAAGCATAGCTCCCACCACACAGCTATGTAGCCTAAAACAGCGAGTTAGTGGCCTGGGATGTGAGAGCTGAATGGAGGTTGAAGATGGACACTGATGTAATATCTGAGGCTTCTGTTTACAATTTAGTTCTGTTACTGTTGCTTGGTCCTATGTCAGCTGACGGTCAGTGCCATGGCCTTTTGTGTGGTCAGGGCCTTGTATGAGTGGGTAAATGGTGGGAATTTTCTAAGGCATCAAGGCATCTTGCTGTTTATCTCAAGGGGACGATTGGAGATGGGAATATGAAGAAGGACTTCGGCATTACAGTGAGGAAGCCCTCAAGAAGGTATGGTCATGTATTTCTTTGGATTGAGTTTTTGGCCATCTCTTATTTCTGGTACGGGCTAACCAACTAAACTATCTGAACATTATTTCAGTGTTGATGAATTGAAAAAAGTGGATCTTTGTTAATCCTTTCTAAGTACCTGATGGTCCCACATCCTAAAAGTACAAATGCCAAAAAGGTTTCTTTAAAGCATTTCCAACAAAGAACCACTTTTGGTTCCCTAAACCTTAATCAGTTAAGTGGTTTCCATTGAGTTTTTAAATAACAAAACATTAAAAAAGGCTCTTCAGGGTGGCTCTTCTGTGGCATTGCTTAAAAATAATTTATTTGAATAATGTGCTGATGTGTTACGTTCCTTTCAGGTAAATAGATGGAATGGCATTTCCACCTATGTACTGCTGTGTTCTTCTCTTTCTGTATTACCTTTCACAGGAGTATCCTGAGAAAACCAGGCCAGCAAGTTTTAAACACCCGCCTTTCTGGTGTCCTGACATGACTCCCTCTACTTCCATACCTACCTCAGGTAAGCTGCTCTGGAATCAATACATGGATCAATATCCATAATCCACAAGGGCAAACACTGCATTTGAGTAAAGCTTGCTGATCTAAGAGAGTATTGGGTTGCTGTCCTTCTGCCACAGCCTTATTTTGTAATGGAAGTCCTATAATTTTTTTTTTTTTAGCCTACCCTTGGGCACAAAGGTAGGCCAAAAGGTCATCTCAAAATGATCAAAAAACAATGGCTCTGGTGTCAGGTAGCCTATTTGTAAGGCATTGAACACTTAAAATGTCTGTTTCCTATGCCCACCACTGTGAGTAATTCTGACTTGGTAAGTTTCTCTACAACGGAGCATTTCACATCAAACCACTCTGAATGACTGGGAATCTGACCTATAGGGTTATGTAGAGCTTTTTTACCAATGTTAAAAAAAAAAAACACTTTTTTTTTCCAGAAAGAATGATGCACAGTTTAGGCTTTAAACACTGGTGTTTATTCGATATTGCATTCCTCATTTTGTTCTCAGTTTATTTTTATTTGTGCAGCGCTTTTCATAACTGCCATTGTCACAAAGCAGATTTATGGAAATCTGACTCCAGGTGCCGAGTGAGTAAGAAAGGAAAAAAAACGTCCTAAAAACAAGAGGAAAAAATATGTGAGGAACAAAGGAGAACCCATCAAAATAGAACAGTAATGGAGCAATAAAACAGATGAGTACAGTGAAAAGTAACTGGATAATAAATATTCAATGACAAAAATGCAAAAGGAGAGGAAACCAAAGCCTGCAAGAAATTGTATGGATTGAGAGTTTAATTCATGATTGCTAAGAGGATGTGTCAGTATGAACAGGTAAGGAGGTCAGTACAGTGTGCGACGGGTGTAAAACGTCTGAGTGAGGACTGTTTTTTTCCGTGCAGGGAACCGCCGGCACCAGCCCAGTCTGTAGAAGAAGAAGAAGTGATGATGGGCTATTTACTAGTCTCCTTGACCTCCAGCTGAGGTCTTATTAGGAGGGTGAAGAGGCATGATTTCATGCTTTTTTTGGACACAGTAGTAGTGAGTCAAAGGCACATACAGGTGGTCACATGGTGGCCAAACTGGTCCGGATTGCAGGTGACCAGGATAAGCAGATCAAGGTCGATCTAGCAGCAGCACACTCTGTGATGTTTAAAAAGTGCTTCAGAAAAGTGATTAATACCTAAACATTTGGATGTGCAGTGTACCATAATTGACCTAAGCGTATTTTCTAAATGTTTTGGCACAGAATCTCTCTGACTTGGTTCCTCTGTGTTGTAGTTGAGCTGGTTAAGGCAGCAGACATCAAAGTCATCGCAGCTCTTGGGGATTCACTGACGGTGAGTGTGGTCCTCTGCCCTCCTTTGCTCTGATCCTATCACATTTGTGTTTCTTCACAGTAAACCATCTGTCAAACCCACCATTCATATGACAACAGCACAGAAGAGTGTTCATTGATTACCACAATACAGTAGTTCTGAATGGAGCAGAACAATTATGTAGACAGATTGAAAAGAAACACTAAATGATAGCAAATAAAGTATGTCCGCTGCTTTCTTACATGAGGTGTGCAGGTGTGGGTAGTAAAGTTACGTGTACTGTAACAGTGTTTTGTAATGATAATGTGTGTACTTGCACCCTGTTCTGTTGGTGACTGGATATATATATATATATCGCTGCTGAACAAAACCTTGTATCTCCAAAATGGTAACTTTTACAGAAGAAGGTAAAAACATACTTTACTTTTAATTTAAGTCAGTGGAACCAGACTTTCTTCCAAGTCATTTTGGGCCGTTTCTTTCGGTCCATTCATCATGAAATTTACACACAGTGTAAAGAGCAACAGGCATTTTCAAATGATGTCAAAAACTGAAAAGATACAAGGTTTTCTTCTGACAGCAGCTGTGTATATACATACATACATACATAAAATAATAATAAAAATAATAATAATAATTAGTTTGTTGGTTTTTATGGAAATTGTGCTTTACCATATTCAATAGCTCATAATTTCAGCTATATTATTAATTATTAATCAGTACTTTGTGTCCAGTTGAACACTAGAAAACAAGAAATCTTTCACCTAACCCTCCATTTTAAAACAAATGCTGAGACCCTAAACCAAATGCAGATGTTAAACCACGGATATCCAATGCTAGCCACCAGTCTAACACACAACTTCATTAACATTCTGAAAGATATAACCATATAAAGAGCGCTGAATTGTCAAATATCTAAATCTGTCTAAAAACATTGTCTCTTGATAATAAAATGTCTGTGAGAAAGATTAGACACATTGTAATTTCCAAAATCAAGCATAAAAAATGAACTGAGGTGATGGAAAGTTTTGAGTTTTGGTCTGTAATGGATAAACTTAATTTAAAGGTAACTTTAGCTTGGAAAGTAATGAGAGAACTAGCTTGTAACCTTGGTATACTGATGGACTCTTATCTCAGTTTTAGCAGTTGTGTCAAAGCAGTTACTAAATCAGCATTTTAGCACTTTAAGAACATCTACAAGATTAGATTTTCTGATAAAAGCAGACCTGGAGAAACTCATCCGCACCTTTATTTCTAGCGGGATTGATTCCTGTAATGTTCTCCTTATTGGACTCCCAGAAAAGACAGTCAAACAGCTTCAGTTTATTCAAAATGCAAAGTTCTCATTAGGAGTAAAAGAAGGAAACACATCACCCCATTCTGAAATCCTTACACTGGCTACCAGTACATGGCAAATAATGCCATCTTGGCAAGTGAAATGATCCAGTCAGTATGTCAATTATATTTCAAATATCAATAAAGTCATTTTTTTTTTACTTGTTTTAAGTGATTTTTATATATTATCACTATATTGGCTTATTTGAAGCACATGGAAAGCCCCAATACTAGACACTTATAAATCTGGGCTGAATATGTTCCTTTTTGAGCAGCTTTCTGCTCACTTTAAAACACTGTTTAGCTCTACTGCACTTCTCTCCTGTAACTGCACTTTACTATCTTAATGTAACTTTTAAAATGTTTTTTTAATTAAATTTTTCATTGCTTGTTTTTAAATCTGTTGCTTTTAATTATGTTTAATTTCTGTTCTGCACATTTTTTAGGATTTAATTTGAATTATCTTTGTATTCTCTCATTAGTAAAGCACTTTATATGACTGCAGTGAATAAAAGGGGCAGTATAAATTAATAAACTTTCCTTGCCTGGCCTAATAAATAAAAAAAAACAAGACCTAAATTGTATTCAGAGAGTGTCTCAAGACATCTTTTGAGCACTGTAGATCCTGGATGTACTATAAAGTCCATCTGCAGTTCTGTAAGTTTGTCTGTGCTAAAGTAGTTTTTGATCCTGGAGCTTTTGTATATCTGTTTAAGGTGTTTTTTAGAAAGGTGATTTTACTTTTACTCTGTGTTACAGACTGCCATTGGGGCGAATGCAACCACAGTCCTTGGTATACCTATTGAATTTCGTCATGTGTCATGGAGGTAAATATTACATTGTCCTGTATCTCAGTATGCATGATGATCTTGCTTATTCCTTGTAAATGACATGATTTATTCTGACACTTAATTGACTGTGGAATATTTCTTGTAGCATTGGTGGCTATGGAACTTTCCAAGATGTTATAACACTTGCAAGTAAGTACTTTTGAGGCTTATTCAATATATATAGTTAATTTTTATAGGCATGCACAGAGGTATCAGGATAATTTTGGTATCAGCAGATTATTGCTTAAAACATCTGTCTGATATTTCAATTTGTTGTACAAATACATCATCAGTTCAGGTGATGCTAGGCTGCATTTTGTTCATTTTACTGCATTTTTAACCCTCAAGAAATAATTGTCAGATTTCTCCATAACACTAATTCAGATAGACGAAATCTCAATTTTTAATTTTATAAATCTTTATGTATTGGTATGAACATATATTCACCATTGGAAAGTATGTCCATAAAATGATATCAGTATTGGCCTAATATTTTCACATTGGTGTGCCCTGTTTATTCTGAAACGATGCTGTGCACCAGAGTTAGCTAACTTGCCCCTTTTTCAATCTGCAGTCCCAGGACACTTGATCATAAACTGAATACAAAACACAGTCAGTGCAGTCGCAATACTGAGCTAAATACAATAGAAAGTCTTGATTATGATCGCACGCCTATTCTACTTTGAATAACATTATAAATATATAATACCGTGATTGCCTCTAGAATTTTATGACAGACTCATATTGTATATCAAAGGGTCTATAAATGTACAGGTGTCTTCCAGGTACATAGTTATTCTCACGAACATGGCAACTACAGTCAAATAAAATGACAAAAATTTAATCTCACTATGGTAACACAGTAAGGCTTGAAGATAAATCTGCAAATAATTTTGTTTCCACAATTTTTCTTTTCGCAATCTGTAGTCTTTAAAGTGTTTTAAAGCTATTACTGAATTTTGCTACTTTATCAAACTACCTCTACATTGACAGCCCCTGAGGTTTTCTTTTTACTTGTACCACAGAACATCTTGTTGTTTTGGTTCACCTGTTTTTAATTTACAAGGAAAAGTAATTAAAAGTAATGCTAACTCATTTTTTTTCTGATTAAAAAGGCAAAAAAGATTACAAAATGACCAAAGTTTTTGCTGTGCCATATAGAGATCTAACCGATTTACTAAATGAATATTGTGTGTATGCATGATGCTTATGACACTCAAATATTTATGGACGTGTTTTGAGGCCATTTCATGAGAATGACTCAGCTTTGCTTTGTGTTGCAGACATCATCAGACTGTTCAACCCCAGTGTAGTGGGTCCTGCTCCAACCAAAACTGTCCATGGAACCCCAGCTCCTCTCAGTGAGACTGGTTTTAACCTCGCTGTGACAGGGCACAACACTTTGTACGTATCACTATGGAAACTGTTATTCTCAACGGACTTTTAGAGCTATAATTCAGATTTATACAACGTCCAAACGTTTGTATGTACCTGCTTATCCAGTGTTTTCTTCTGAAATCAAATCAATTCCCTGTAAATAGGGAATTTGTCCTTCTGTTTGCTGCAGTAACAGCCTCTACTCTTCTGTGAAGGCTAGATGTTGGAACATTGCTGTGAGGATTTAATTGCATTCAAGAACAATAATGAGGTCAAGTACTGATGATAATTAGTTCTGGATCGCTTCATCTCATCCCAAAAGCATTGGATAGAGCTCCATCACTCCACAGAACACAGTTCCAATACTGGGGGGGCTTTATACTTTATGCTCCTCCAGCTGACTTTTAGCATTTGACATTGTGTCCACGTATGGTTGCTCCAGAGAGTCCTGTTCTATGGGCAGATGGAGGTTTTGCAAGCTGTGTGTGCAAAATTGAACACTTGTATTAGCAATGTGCACACCTCAAAGTAGCTGAATTCACTAATTAGATAGGATGTCTGTATACTTTTGGACATTTTTGTCTTATTCATGGATGAGGGTTTCTGAGGTCATAAGAGGAATGAAAGACTGGTGAGCAATTTAGCTGCTAGCAATATGTCTGTGTAGTTGTGGTGTAGCAAAAATTCAATAAGCTGTTTCGCAGATTCGTATTTGTAGGCTGTATATCCTGAGCAGTAAATGACACCTTTTGAAACTTTAACAGTGTTTACATGCTACATGAAACGCTTTTATTTAAAAACAGTGAGGAAAATTCAGTTGTCCATGATATGGGCCCTTTAACACTTTGAGGTAGAGTGTCTAGTGTGGATGTTGAAGGAAGCGTATTCTAAATTCTCTCTGTGTTATTTTCTGATTTATGCTGTCATTAGATAAATAATACATTTATGATTTGATTTTCTGTATTATCTTTGTGCTTTTTTTCTCTTCAAGTAATCTTCCTGGACAAACCAGACATTTGATTGATACCCTGAAAACATATGAGGTAATAGACAGACTCTCTTGTAATTCACAGTATTCTGTCAGAGTTCACTCAAACCCATATAAACAACCCTGAACTTTCTTTACTGATAATAATAATCACCATCTCTGTTGCTACACTTCCTATCTGTGTTTAGTACTGCAGATGAAACCAGAAGATCGTCTGTTATCTCATTTTCTGTAACGTGTTGTGAGAATAAAGAAGGTAAAAAGCTGTGATCTTTTTTCACTATCTCAAACTACAGGGCGTTAACTTTGACGAGGACTGGAAACTGCTGACCATTCTCATCGGCATGAATGATATCTGCGATTACTGCAAAGACAAGGTAGTGTCTTCATGCTTCTGCAGATAGAAAGTGGAGGTGTTTTAAGTATAGCGTGACACTAAAGGTCATATTTCACTGAAACTTTAGATAACTACACAACAGTTCTTTGCTTCCAATTATATGGTCACAACTCCACGATCAAACTGGATTGCTCTGTTAAAAAGGTGATTGATTACTTTATGAATTTGTAAGCATTTATTGGTTATTGACGTGATGATGCAGTACTGTGAAAAAGTAAAAAAAACCACCCTTGATTTATTTAATTTTCAGCCAAAATGGCTATTACAAGTTATTGTTTTCAGTGGTAGGGAAAAAAAGCAGAAAAGGCATATTGAACAGACAATTACATAGAAGCCTTAATAACTAAATATAGGTTTTTATTTTCAGTAGTTAGTGTGTCCATCCTGTACCCTTATTACAGATTCTGTTCTTTTCAGGAGGCTTGCTTTTAGTTTTTCAAAGGAAAGTTCAGTCTTAGACATTGGTCACATTTTTGTTTCTCACAATCCAAGTAATCTCAGAAACATTTAGTGATGTTGAGGTCCTGTGAAGAAAGAGTGGAGCTCAATCTCCTCCTCTCTCTCAAAGATGAAAGCTTTAAGTACTGTTTATCTGATAGTGACAGGTATGTTGGTCTACCAGGTATTGCATCTTTTATTTAAAATTTTTTATTTATTTATGCCTTAGTATGTAATAATACTGTAATAATATTTTAAGAGGTTAATAATTAGATCAATGATAATATAAAACAAGGAAAAAAGACACATTTGCAATGATTGTGACAGCCCTACCTCAGATAATAAGTTCTTTTCTGTTTTCTTCTTTTCAAATGAAGTGTACTGGTAAAATCTTCAAATAATGCTGATTTGCTCAATGCTATTCTTTGTGACAGAGCCTATGAGAATATTTCATTATCTTTATGACTAATATTAGGCTGAAATGCTTAAATTCATTTCCCAACCTTAACAAACTGCACCCTAACAAGCGTAGGCATGAGTGAGTGGCCTCCCTGAGGAGGTATGTTCTAAAGAGCATGTCCTTCACTGAGACTTATCACACAGGAGAGCTGTAGGGCAAATCTTAATTCATTTTCCTCTGTTTATATTCCCAGTCTCTCTTTTCAGTGGAGAACTTCGTTCACTACATGAGCGTGTCCTTGGAGATGCTGATGAACGAGGTAACGCAAGATTTTAAGGCTCTCTTGAGATAAGCCATAAAACTCTGGCCTTCTTGCTCAGATTGTGTTGATAATATTATTAAATCATCTAAGACTCATCTAAGAATGACACTTTTGATAGTTTTTTATATGTCAGCCTTGAAACAGCGTGTATATCTTTGTGCTGTCGTGTTTTAAAAGCTATAAGGAATCTTTTTGGGTGTCCTCAGTGTGAGCAAAAAGGCCTGATGAACCATTCGGGGTGGCATGCTATTTTTAGATTGCATGTGTTTTACTTCTTTACAACATTTACCTAGTCATCTTTATTTCTGTGCAGGTCCCTCGAATGATAGTGAATGTAGTTCAGATTTTGCCCATGGAGACGCTGCGCGAGGTGCAAAAGCCGACCCCAGGCTGTTTGCTCCAGAGGTACTTCACATCTCTGGGCTTTTTACCTGGATGTTTTTTGCAGATTGGCTTATTGATCAATTACTTATTGGCTTATTGGTCATTTACATTTTGAACTATTACTTCAACAAATCAAATCTTGTTATTCATTAACTTTCATAAGAGATAATTAAGTAATTGATTAATTATATTGTATATGTATTGTAATGAATTAAAAATGTATTAATGTATTTATTATGTATGCTATATAACTATTATTTTTTTATTACAAGTAGTTGTAGTATAAAATTTGTGTGTGTGTGTGTGGTGTAGTATATATATATATATATGTATATATATATATATATATATATATATATATATATATATATACACACAGTATCTCACAACAGTTAGTACACCCCTCACATTTCTGCAAATATTTTATTATATCTTTTCATGGGACAACACTATAGACATGAAACTTGGATATAGCTTAAAGTTGTCAGTGAACAGCTTGTATAGCAGTATAGATTTACTGTCCTCTGAAAATAACTCAACACACAGCCATAAAAAATAGCTGGCAACACAAGTGAGTACACGTCACAGTGAACATGTCAAAATTGTGCCCAGTTGTGTCGTTGTCCCTCCCTGGTTTCATGTGACTCGTTAGAGATACAAGGTTCCAGGTGTGAATGGGGAGCCGGGTTGTTAAATTTGGTGTTTTGGGTACAATTCTCTCATACTGGCCACTGGATATTTAACATGGCACCTCATGGCAAAGAACTCTCTAAGGATGTGAGAAATAGAATTGTTGCTCTCCACAAAGATGGCCTAGGCTATGAGAAGCTTGCTAACACCCTGAAACTGAGCTATAGCACGGTGACCAAGGTCATACAGTGGTTTTCCAGCACAGCTTCCACTTGGAACAGGCCTCGTCAGGGTCGACCAAAGAAGTTGAGTCCACGTGTTCAGCGTCATATCCAGAGGTTGGCTTCAGAAAATAGATGCATGAGTGCTGCCAGCATTGCTGCAGAGGTTGTAGAAGTGGGAGGTCAGCCTGTCAGTGCTCAGACCATACGCCGCACAATGCATCAACTTGGTCTGCATGGCCGTCGTCCCAGAAGGAAGCCTCTTCTGAAGCTGACGCACAAGAAAGCCCACAAACAGTTTGCTGAAGACAAGCAGTCCAAGAACATGGATTACTGGAACCATGTCCTGTGGTCTGACGAGACCAAGATAAACTTGTTTCGCTCAGATGGTGTCCAATATGTGTGGCAGCGCCCTGGTGAGGAGTACCAAGACAAGCATGGTGGTGGTAGCATCATGGTCTGGGTGACTGTGACATTCTGAGGCAGAGCATGATCCCCTCCCTTCGGAAACTGCGCCGCATGGCAGTTTTCCAACACGATAACGACCCCAAACACACCTCCAAGATGACAACTGCCTTGCTGAGGAATCTGAAGGTAAAGGTGATGGACTGGCCAGGTATGTCTCCAAACCTAAACCCAACTGAACACCTGTGGGGCATCCTCAAGCGGAAGTTGGAGGAGCGCAAGCTGTCAGCTGTCTAACATCCACCAGCTCCGTGATGTCATCATGGAGGAGTGGAAGAGGATTTCAGTAGCAACATGTGCAGCTCTGGTGAATTCCATGCCCAAGAGGGTTAAGGCAGTGCTAGATAATAATGGTGGTCACACAAAATATTGACACTTTGAGCACAATTTGGACATGTTCACTGTGAGGTGTACTCACTTGTGTTGCCAGCTATTTAGACATTAATGGCTGTATGTAGAGTTATTTTCAGAGGACAGTAAATCTTTGCTGCTATACAAGCTGTACACTGACGACTTTAAGCTATATCCAAGTTTCATTTCTATAGTGTTGTGCCATGAAAAGATATAATAAAATATTTGCAGAAATGTGAGGGGTGTACTCACTTTTGTGAAATGCTGTGTATATATATGCGGCAATTGCATTATTTTTGTGTTTAAATCTACCAACTTAAATATAGTATTAAGTAATAGTAGTTTTTAATGTTTGAATAATTCATAGAAATCGTGAGTCTATTATTAATTAATTTGAATGTTAATAATGTCAATAAACAATTATTGTATTATATGATACCACTAATACTACAACTAATAATAATAATAATAATAATAATAATAATAATAATAAAAATAATAATACAAGGAGATTCACTCGAAAGATGCCCCAAATATTCTGTAATAACTCTCGCTAGGGCGAAGCAATCTGAACGAAACAACATGCAATGTGCTCCTCAGTATATGGAGCTTCAAACAAGCCAGGATGCCCCTACGTCGGAGCGATGAGGTAGGCTGTTGTGGCATTTAACCTCTCTAATGCTTGCCGATATGTTCAGGAACATGGAGCGCCGCGTCAAAATGTGTCTGGCAGAAAACGGAGATCACTTCCAGTATCGCATGTAATGCAACAGATTAAACATACATCAAGATATGTAGCATATTTTTTTGGTTCAGATTGCCTCATCCTAACAGGAGTTACAACAGAATATTCGGGGCCTCTTTTGAGTGAATCTCCCTGTACTATTAATACTACTATTACAAGTACTTTATATATAATATATAAATGCAAACACAGGATGTGGGAATAGATGGCAATAGATAAAACAAGTTAACTAGATAACAATATGTTATTCCTTACTGTGCTTTATGGTTGAGGCAAAGCTCCATTATCTTAAGTGGAGTTTAAGATATGCTAATGTAGCTGACATTTAATAGTATATACTGCATTATACTGCATATTGAAGTTTTTCCATGTTGATGATTGAAATTTTATCCAGTGGTGATCATTTAGTCTTGTTTTGTGAAACGAAACTCATGCCTGTCTCTGTCCCTTACTCTCATCTTCTATGCTCCCCAGGTCTTTCTGCTCCTGCCTGGTTAAGCCAGCCACAGGGTCTGCTGATCTTAAAGAGCTGATTGAGGTCAACCTCCAGTTCCAGGTGTGTAAGCCCTAATCAGAGAATTGGGTACTTGGTGGTGTCTGTGCAGGTGTACGTTCTTCCCCAAACAACATGCTTAATTTAGCAGAATTGGTTAATGAATGTTATTGCTTGCCTTAACTATGTTAAGTGTCTGACTTAGTTATAAAGTGAGAGGGTTCAGCAAAAACTTTCCTCTTTTCCCAAATGCAGCCTATCAGTCAAGACAACTTTAGTGAATATAGTTTGCTTGTTCAGTTTTGCACTGGAGCTACAAGGCTAATGTAGCTAACAAGTAATGAAACCTTGTAAGTATAGAACAAGTTTAGAACCATGCAGACTGCATGCCTAAAGCATCACACTTGAACTTTAACTGTTCTGAGAACAGTTAGAAGCACTGTTCTTTAATAATGTCTAAAGGACTTGTTTTTTATGATTTCTAACACTGTGTGACATACTGTTATCTATAAAATCTTATAGATTAAAACTGTAGCAAAGTTTCTCTTTTTTGACAATATAGATAACTCATATTGTCTGAAAACAAAAAAGGACAAAAGTTTCCATTGCTTTCCATTAGCAACATTAGCCTTCTAGCTCCAGTACATAACTAAAGAAACAAATTTCATGTCTTGGCTGGTTTTCTATTCTATTTCTATACTTATTGTAAGGAGAAAACACTGTGTACATGAGATTTTTGGTCAATTTATTGCTAATCTCAAACTCTGTTTATGCGTGCGGGACATATGCACAGAGTGTAAGTATATGCTAAATATGCTAAATGAATTTCTTTCTGTTTTCCCAGACTGCCCTGGAGCAGCTCCTCTACAGTGCCCGTTTCTTTAAGAGCGACTTTGCTGTAGTTCTTCAGCCATTTCTGAAGTATGCTGACCCTCCACGGCACCCTGTAAGAAACATCCTATGCTTGGTTACTGCCGACAGCTCTGAACACTGCCTTATAGTTTTTATTATAAAAAGAATAAAAATGCTTCTTTTTGATAAGCATAACATTCTCACACCTCTCTTTTTCCTTGTTAGAACGGAAAGATTGACATGAGTTTCTTCACCCCAGACTGTTTCCACTTCACCATGAAAGGACATGAAGAGCTGGCTAAGGGTCTTTGGAACAATATGGTGAGATTAATATTAATTCATGTACTCTTCCAACCTGTTTAAAGGGCTATTTTGCCAGAAGTACTTTTTCTAATGTAATTTCAAGTCCTTACGTAAGATATAAAACTACAGATGTGACATTTGCTTTAGCATGATTTTTTGCTGGTTTATTTCTCCATGGTTAATTGTTTTTCTTTTAGAGATGCTTAGACACAGATCAGTGGCTTATCTAGGATCTTATGGGCCCCACTGCAAAAAAATGACCCCTACCCCAATACGAAAATTCTATTTAAGGAATAAATTAAAAATAACGGTCATTTTCTTGTTTAGTCACTATTTTTATGTCTCAAACAGGCTGATGCAAGATAAATTTACCATGTATAGCATTGTATAGCATAAGTGCAATACAGTACATTTCAGTAAGTATTACCACCTGGGTGCCAAGACAGAAGAGTTTTGATGCTAGTCTTCTATGCGTTTTAAAGGATGGCCAGTCAAGCCAGGCTGTACTTGAAGCTCAAAGGGCTCAAGGTACAGATTGAATTTTGATCATTGTCACGGTGTAGGGAGGGGCTGGTCAGAAAGCCAGTGAAGGAAACACAGCAGTGGATTGGCATAAGTTAATTTAGTAAGATTGAAGACAAGCTGAGCTGCTGTGTTCTGATCAGTTGCAAGGGCCTGATGGCCCACATAGGAAGACCAGCCAGGAAGAAGTTGTAATAGTCAAGACTTGAGATGACCAAAGACTGAAGTAGCACCTTGGTGGCCTCCCAGAAAAAAAGGGTCCAATCCTCCAGTGTTGTAGAGGAGAAACCTGCATGACAGGGTTAGGTTTGCAGTATGAGAACAATGACTGGTCATCCAGAGCACTAAGGCTTTTTGCATCTTCAGGTTGAATGACCAAAGAGTCTCTCAGATAATATGGCAAGATCATGGTCAGGACCTGTATTTCCAAGGGATGTATAGCAGCATGGTCTTGATGGGATTCAGCCTCAGATGGGGGGATGCCATTCATGAAGAGATGTCAGTTAGACATGCCAAGATGCCACTGCAAACTTGAGTGTCAGAAGGTGGGAGGTATTGGATCAGTTACGTGTAATCAGCTTAGCAGTGGTAGGAGAAGTCATGAGACGATATTACATCGCCAAGGAAGAGTGAGCATAAAAAGAAAAGAGGACCCAGTGCTGAGCCTTCTGGGACACCAGTGGAGAGACTACATGGAATGGCTGTGGAACCTCTCCATGTTACTTGATAGGAGCACCTGTCCAGACAGGACAGAACCTCTTCCATGTAGAGCAAGTGATTTCAAGTTCTTGTCATTGACCATGTCAGAGACTTCAGAGAGGTCAAGAAGAATCAGGACCATTGTCGGTTTGGCTGATCTTGCTGCATGGAGCTTCTATGTAGAATGGTACATGACCTAATCACAAGAGGCCTTTTTTGATAGAAGAGATGAAGGGAAGCAAGTCCAGAGAGATGGTCTGGAGCAATGTGGATGGGATGGGGTCCAGTAGCCAGGTGGTCGGATTGCTGAATGTCAGTAGCTGTAGGATATTGTCTGTGGAAGGAGGAGGAAACAAGTTTTAAAAAATGAAGAGCAGTGGGAGGACTGATTGAAGAGTGGGAGGAGTGGAGACAGAGGAAAAGAACTGGCAGATTCTGTTAACCTTTTCCTCAACGAAGGCGACAAAATCCTCTGGGGTGAGAGAAGTGGGTGAAGAAGAGGTGGGAGGGTTTAGAAGAGAAGACAAAATGGTAAAGAGCTTGGAGGATCAGATGCTGTTTCCCTCTGTAGAAAGATGACTTTGCAGCAGTTACTTCTAGTAAGAAAGGGGAAAGACTGGTCTGAGCAAAAATCGGAGTCTAGTTGTACATCATAGTTGTAACCCCCCCCAGTTAAGACAAAACAAGCGGTTGTGTCCCCTCATTATTCCCAACACCTGCTTTCCTGCTTTTGTGTTAATTCTTGACGGAGTGTCAAGGTGCCTCACTAGTTAATCTGATTTTTGACCCTGACCGGCCTTGTTTGTTGATGACTAGTTGATGGTTTTGCCTGCATTTTTCTCATCTGCTTGTCTTGTGAATCCTGCCTCTTGAAATTCATCCAGTCAAACTACTTATAAACATTTTTTATATTTCGTAACCATAACAATGCAGTTTTTGTTTATTAGAAAGTAGACAAAAGTTTTATTGCAAAACAAATGACAGATAATATTGTTAACTTCACTAATCAAAAAATGGACAGTGCGGTGGAATAAAGAGCTGTTTGGCAGCCAAAAAAGTTGACTCTCATTGGTGAGCAGTGCCAACTGACCTGGCTCACTGAAAAAGGTGCCCATCACCAATTCCCTCCACCTTCTGTCAAAGATAAAATGCATTATGAATATGGAGCTTTCTGGGTTCATGGGTGTGCTGTGGTCAGTGTCTATATGAGGGGCCTAGTACAAACTTCAGAGGGCTAATAATGATCACGGTCCATAGTTCCCAGTGTGATTCCTGCCCCCTCAGTAGTAATGCTAGTGACGCTGATTACAGTTTATATGCTGTGACAAAAGTCATGCTCCTTAAAATACTCTAAAATCTGTAGTGATGTGATGAATGTTATTTGTCCTTATCATTACATGTGCAGTTTCAGCCTGAAGGGGAGAAATTTATGGTTGAGAGTTTTTCAAACCCCATCCAGCTCATGTGTCCTCCTGTGGTAAGACTTCCATTGTTTTTTAATATCACTTATTTATCTGACCTGTTATTCACTATTGCATGGATTTGTTGCACTTTATTGAATCCTGTGTTTACTTTTTCCCTTTTCAAAATCAGGACCATCCCTACATCTATACCAAACCCAACGCTGTCAAGAATGGCCAGTCCCCTCAGCCAGGACCGCCTTCATCAGGAGGCTCACGTTTGACCACTTTCTTTTCCCCGATCACTGCTTTGGCTTCTGTTCTTTTTTGGTGGGCCACCAACATGGCCTTCATATAGAAACTGTTGATGAAGCTCCAGGGAACTTCTCTGCTATATCATGAACCTCCAACAATGCCTTGTTTTTTCCACCACTTTTTGACCAGACTCTCAGAAGTTAAGAGTCCAACAACAATACAGTGTTATATTTACAGCCTACAAAAGGAAGAACGAGCAAATTGTGTCACTGCAAGTGAGAGACAGTAATGAGTCAAATTGGCAGAACTATATGCAAGTTAAAGTCGGTGTACTGCTTCTTTCACTCTTGTGAAACTTATCAAATTGCAATGGTAAAACAGCGCCAGCAGCATGAGCACATCATGTACGCTAACCTGATGACCCTTTCTGATCCATCTATCATCCTTCTAACCGGATATCCACCATTTCAAAGCCCAAATAGAGCAGAGGCAGGTGCAGGCCACATTTAGCCCTGACTAATGCTGCTCTAATTGATTTAGCTAGGAAAGGTAATTGCGTGAGCCAGCTCAGGCTCGTCTGAACAAAAATGGCCCGAGGTTAGCCCGAAAACGCATTATGGTTGCGAGGTCAAAGGAGTTAGCTGTTTGGAAAGAAGAGTATTGTGGCCTTTCAGATGGTGGTTAAATGCAGACCATTTGAAAGATACCTAATGCGCAGACTAATGAGATAATCGCTTTCTGGATGCCGAAACCTGAGACTTGCTTTTAGTCTCCTCAAATAAAGCTTTTGGAACAAGTATACATGCGTGTGTGCTTTTATGCTGCCATTAAGAGCCATAGCATTCTGGGACAGGGAAAGAGCAATGTTTAGTGTTGACTTATTAAACTCAAGATTGTATTTAAAAGTAAACAAGAGCCTTTGACTGAAATCAGGACTGATCATATCAGCTAGTATCACTGTAATCTCACAGGTGCAGAGATTGATTTATGGAAAAGCCCTTTATATCAGAGAGGACTGTTTCCCATTACAAACATGTCCATACAGGTGTGTTCCATAATAAGAAATGGGTTCATTCATTACTTTCCTGGCCTTTGCTAGAGCAAACAGTTGCATGGCCATTTGATACAGGGCAAACACTGTGGCACTGCTTACGCTAACCCACTTTATTGTCTCCTTGATTAGGATCTGTGCACGTTGTGAAATAGGAAATTTGAGACCGGACAAACTTATGAACAAATGTGTGGCTAGCGTCTTATTACACCTGTTTAAAATTTCAATCTTGATTGATACGAAAGGACATAAAAAGCTCTACACAAGTCTATAGTAGGTGCCTAGCAAGTCCTGAATCACCAAATTGTTATTCCCATTAATGCTAATTCTGTCGTATATTGTTGATGAGCCGCTCACTGTTTCCTGCCAGGTTTTTCTACTAAATGACATTGTCTGATGTACTTTTGCTCCTTCGGGCTCCTTTGAGAGAATCCAGAGAACACGTGCAACGTAAGCGACCTAATGACCTGTCATGGGAAATCAGCATGTAGAGGGAGTAAACTCTAGAGGGCACCCAAAGGACAACAGGTTAAGCACAAGCTCTTCCATCACTCGACAGATTGCAATATGTACTATAAAAAGATTTTGATTTTTGGTGATATTGTGAGAGAAATTTAAACTCCTTAATTTTAAAAATGGACTTTAGGCAAGTTATGCAATGCTGAATAACTTTGAGTTGTTATAATATGATATCTGTAATATGTGACTGGCAAGCAAAACATATTACATGTTTAACCCCTTGGAATGCTTTTTGTGAAAAAAAAAGTATGAATGTGAAGAACCATTTAAAGAGTTGAAGCCTCCACATAATGGTGAGGTTCAATAAAAAATACAGTTTTTGTAGAAATGTACATCAAAACTAATAACCATTTATGAACATTTTATAGTTCACTTGTCACTTTGTCAGTGTGAAGCAGAAGACCAAACATCTTGCGTCTGTACTGTGATAGATTTCCGAGTAAAACACTGCTTCAGGGACAGCTGCTGCAATAGAACTACCAGTCAAAACCTCTGTTCCCATCAACAAGCATTTTGTCTTTTAAATGATGTATGATGAATTGTGCATAACCTGGCGCTTAAACTAACAAGGTAACAAAGGTCACTTTTGAAGTCACGATAGAAAGAAAGACAGAAAGAACTTTGTTGATCCCGAAGGGAAGTAGCAGTGTTACAGTAGCAAGACATATAAATACACGTAAACATACATACTTAAATAAGGCAGAAATAAAAGGTTCATTTTAAGACTTTAGAACAATTTATAAAACTAATGTTAGTTATGTAGTTATGAGTGAGGAATTGAAGTTGGACCACAGTGCACATTCAGCATTTTCATTTAAAGCCATTAATCAGGGAATATGCTGCATGCTGATTTGAAAACGTTTCTGATTCTTCTTGTGAAGTTAAAAAAGAATGGATTTTAGGAAATCAGTCATGAGTACTTTCATTTAATCAGACACAACATTATTTGTATCTTGATCATATGCTACCAAATGGAAATTAGTAGTTAGCTAACTCTGGTGAAGAGCATCTTTTCTCATTTAAGATTTTTTTTTTTGGGAGTCCCTGACAAAATAAACAAAATAAAGAAACCATTTTTTTTAGGTTAAACTGATTGTTAAATAGTCATAATGGCTGGTCATGCATGAACAAATTCAGCCACCCTGTAGGCAGTTTTAATGTGCATGAATCTGGGAAAAGAACACCTGTAACACTTTGTGAAGACTATTTAAGGCCCGACTGCCTACTCGTGTTCATTGTATATAAATGACTGTGTCTAAGAAGGTAGTTAACCTTTGATTATATAATACACGAATAGTTATCATCATCTCCGAGCACACAGGCACAGGAAATTGAATATTCAATCCAATCCATCTCCTACAGTGTGGTGAACTCACTTTATTGCCATGCTGGTTCATTGCATTTGAAGATTAATAATGTTTTCACAGAGACAAACACATTTCTCTCAGAAGGGCAAGGCAGCCATCTAAGTTCGATGTTGATAACATTTAGTGTATAATTTCATGTTTCTGAAATAGGCTGTTTAAAGTAGCCTTTATTCATATAACATTTGTTGATGAATGTATTTCTAATTGTAATTATCTTGTGCTTTTGATTTTGTAGGCGCCTGCTCATCAGCATTTCTTCTGAAATCAGATATATTATTAGGGAAGGCTTCACACTAGATGTTGGAACATTGCTGTGAGGATTTGATTGCATTCAGCCACAGGAGCATTAGTGAAATTATGTACTGATGTTAGGTGATCACTTCTAGATCACTCCAACTCATCCTAAAGGTATTTTGGATGGAGCTCCATCACTCCAGAGCACACAGTTCCACTGCTCCCAGCCAAATGCTGGGGAGCTTTATACCCCTCTAGCTGACACTTGGCGTTGCGCATTGTGAGGCTCGTGTGGTTGCTATTAGCAGTGCTCTTCTATTGAGATTAAACAAACTGTGTGCGTGCGATTGAATGTCTGTGATGCATTTGGACATGCAGTGGAGATATTGGTATAGAGAGGAAGGCATTGTACACTGTACACATGCAGTATTTATCAGACTCCTTTATAGACAATGTGATAAGTGCAGTCTTAGCTTCTGAGAAAGTGACAATGATCTGATGACGCACAACTAGAACATAAAAGGGCCTGTTCAGTACTGTTTACCTGAGAGTGGGAACAAAACGTGATTTTTCCAACCACAGGACTTTGCTTTTGCAATGCAATGACTTCATTAAGATGTGTGTTGTAGTTTTAAATGTATTCTAATAGTGTCCTTCATTTCAATGTAACTAGTTTCTTCAGAACCATAGTGATCTGTGACTGAGAAAAGAGTATTTTCAGGCCTTGAAAATGGCAGAACTCTAATAAAAGTGTAATAACGACACTATGATGATGATAACAGCTTAGTAGTTTATTGTTCTGTCCAGTTATTTGAAGATGAAGTATCATTTGACCAAAGTCCTCTGATTCCTTCCCTTTTTTTGCCTCTCTTGTTTGCATGCTTTTTGCAAACAGCTTCGCTGCTTTTATTTAAATGCATCTTTACTGCGTTCACTAAATCAGCTGCAGTAGTGCTGTCACATAAAGCTCTCTGGAGCCTAATCAATCACTGCTTCAGCCAAGATTTAATGGAGTGAGCGTCTAATGGAATTACACTGTACTGTAAAGGAATAAAAAATCAAAGAAAACAAAAGAAACACTGACAAAAATATGAAGCAATAATAATTAGATTTATTGACGTAGCGCCTTTCATACATGTAAGTTCTTCATACATTTAACTCATGCCAGCATGATGTTGTCCAGGACATTTTTCTTGCATGGTTATGTCAATATTATGTCACAGGGTTCATGTAAAGTGCTAACAAACATCAGGAAATTGGATGAATTCTAACAATAATAGTAATAATATAAATAGTAAACAATATAAACAGTAAAGAGTAGAAGGCTAGTGTCAATAACAGTAATAATAAGTAAAATAAACAGCAACAATAATAATAGAAATAAACAAGTAGAACAGCAACAGCAATAGTAGTATTTATTAAAAACAAGAAACACTGAATTCATTAAAAACATTTTGTGTATCTCCTTAGTTGCCTTTTTAAAGCTGATGATGGGTGATTTTCATTTTTTGGATGCATGGAATCAAACGCTGCCTCAATACATCTTTTCTTGTTGTCTTTTAGTACTTTAAGCAGATCTGCAGTACTGGACCTAAGAGAACGACTCTATTAGGGCAAATAGAGACAGAGAGCCTATAATGTATGATGAAGCCAATTCAAGACTTCACACCCCGGTAGCTGTTTTAAAATCTATCCTAAAAAAGAGTGGAAGCTGGTGTAATGATGCCAGAATTGTGATATGTCCTCTCTGACATGTGACTCTTAATAACACCCTGACTGCAGCAATCTGGATGAGCTGCAGATTTCCGATCTCCTTTCTTGATTGCTCAGTCAACCGCAGCTTACAATAGTCAGCTATTTAGTAAACTAATGACTACAGCTCTGTTCCAGAGAACGAATGTTCTGTTTGTCTTTAACCCTGGAAAAATCGGCTCATCTTAAAATGTTAAGGTAATTCACTACGCAGCTTTTCTTGAGTTAACTCAGCTTGAGGATGCTACAGTTCATCCAACTCAAAGTTATTAGTTTAGTCAGAGGCTCTTCTAACTGGTATTTTTGGGTCTGCATCTCTGTTAGGGAAACAGTATAGAATTTGTTTTTACACAGTTTCTCCACTAGCTGGGATGGTTTCCATCAGACAATCCCACCAGGCTTTTTTACCCACAGGCTCCCAGTTACGGAGGGCCTTTTGTGCCATTTGGGGTACCCCTAAAGTTGAGTTTCTTGTTTTAAAATGTCAGTTTACATACTGTTTAATGTTGAGTTAACTTAAAATCTCAGGTAAGCCATGAATAATTTTAAAGTAAATTTGAATTAAAATGTAAAACTTGAATATTTAAGTTTTTCTCCATGTTTTGTGTTCCTAGTAGTTTTGTTGGTTGTTTGAATTCACATTTTTACGTAACAAACAAACAAATAATAAATAAATAAATGTTGCATTGGCCAGCAAAAGTAGTGGTCTAAAAAATCTTGACACAAGAAGGCAAAAACCCACCAAACTTTTAACATAGGTTAATTGTAAAATTAGTAAGAATTTAATAATAAGAAATTAATCATTAAAAGTCCATTAATCATTAAAATTTTCACACAATGTAAAGGACAGCTGCTTAAATGATGTAGAAATAGAAGAGTGTGACAAAATTACAGTTTTTACAGTATATGTATTTTTGTTCACAGTGTAGATGTGTAAGTGTAAATTTCATTTTATTAGAGTTACAGCAGTTGTTTTGGTGTCTGAATGCAGAACCACCTAGTCCAATTCTTGAGAAAGTCACTAAATTCAAACTTAAAACAAAAAAACATGAAACTTTCGAGAAGCTTAAGGGCCCATGTCATTGAAACTGAATTGTTCACATGTTTCTATGATTTTTGAGTTTAATGCAGTAGGGTGCTGGAGTCTATCCCAGCTGTCATTGGGCGGAAGGCAGGATACACCCTGGACAGGTCAGTTTAATGCAGTATGTAAACATTATTAAAGTTTTGACATGCTTCATTCACTCCCCAGTCCATACAGTGCACATATGGAAACTGCACTGCAAAAACAGCCCTTTTTATAATTCATGGTTTTTGTGATGTTACAAAAAATAACACGTTTACATATATTTAGTGCACAGCAGTTTAGCCCCGCCCATTCATGTTGAAGTGATTATGAGCATTTTAGCTCAGTCTGCATTTTGAATGAGGCAAAATACAGGGAAACCAATCAGAACAGTGCTCATTTACATATATCAGTCTTAAAGGCACAGTAACAAAAACAGACTGTTCAAAAGAGAGGTTAGAAAACGGCAATGTGGAAATGAGGTGTGACTGTTTATGGTGCACAAAACGTCAAGAGGAAAATAAAATATAAAAATAAGGTATATGGGCCCCTTAAAGAACACTTTTCAGAAATTCATCCTGAAACATCATCTACAATCTTTG